CAGCAGTGGCAGCAGCAGCAGGCACAGCAGCGGCAGCAGCCGTGACAACAGCAGCAATAGCAGTGACAGCCATAGTGGCATCGGTGGTGGCAGTGGTGGCAGTGCTTCTGAGCAGCAGCAAGCAGAGGCAGCTGCAGATAAGACTCCTTCCAAGCAGGAGGAGCTAGCACATGCAGAGTTGGGCTAATGCAGACAAGAGCAACCTGCTGTAGCTGCAGCTGCATCATCCTCAGAGCAGCAATGCAGCTCGTGCCCAGCCTCCCACTATAGCTGTGATTCATCCAAGCTAGCCTTTAAGCTTCGCGCCTGGTATGTGTGCTTGAAGCTATGTATGTGCTGCAGATGTTGCTGTAACCATCTAAGATTTTATATGCCGCTACACGCCTAACCCACGTTGCACGTATCAACGTACCTGTGTACCAGAGAGCACAGGTACTAAGGGACAAGAAACATGCCATCGGCCGGTCAGGTCTCAGCCTTCCTTGGATACAGGCCATGGAAAAGGTTAAGAATCTGCAAGGTCAGTGTATGCAAGCTTGTATTTTCCCAAAATGTTGACCCAATGGCATCACACTGTATGCATGTCTTGCATTTTTTTGCAAACAGATGAAGCAGCCTGGGGCATGGAGGGTGCAAAGTACCTGCAGCAGTGCCTTACAGAGCAGCTGGTGGCTGCCTGGGGGGTGTCTGCACAGGATCTGGATCATGCCAAGGTAGGCTCGCTGGTTACATAGGTTAATGATACAGTACTAGCAGGTTTAGCAGTGATAATTTAGCTAGTTGTTGACTATGCTATGCATGTGAACTTCACACTTGTAGGTTGTCATCAGGCGTATGGGATGTCTTTACTACGCCCCACTTCACACCGTCACTTACATCCGTGGTGGCGGCCTGGCTAAGTCCCTTTTCAAGACCCAGGCATGCCCAGTGTGCGACATTTCAATCCTGAACAACGACACCCCAGGGGGCTATGGTGTGTGGTACGGACGGGTAGGCAAATGGAGGTTTGGTTTCCATTCGTTGTGTGTATGTACTTCAGTTCTCTGGAGTTTGCTCATATGTGCATGGCCCTTGTGTGCAGGTGCAGCTACTGCTCAGCGTGCTCTACAAAGACAAGGTAGCAGATGTGGTGTATGTTAAGTGGTTTGATGCTCCAGAAGATGAATGGAACCGTGAACTGAATCTCCGTCCGCTGCGATGGCAGAGGTAATAAAAGTAGTTTACACACAGTCGTAATTTCAGTTGTATACCTCCCTCTCTTGCACTAACACTAACCATTGATTGTCCACACAACCTCCACTTCCAGGGTGACTGGAAAACCAGCAGCAGCTTATGGGTGTATCCCGTTTGAGTCCATTATCGAGAGAGTGTGCATTGTTCGGATCTCCCAAGTTAAAGTCAAACGTACACGTGGTTCCTCCAGCAGAAGCATGGATGATGTGGAAGAGTCCATGGACAATGCAGTTCCCACAGCACAATTTGTGCTCAACGAGCTCATCGGCAGCCCACCCCATGGCCTTTTGCCAGTCGTGTTGGAGGATATTGCTGAAGAAGTCAGGCAGCAGTCTCAAGAGAGTGAAAAGCGAAGCTTGCGCCCATCAGAAGCACGGGCACTATTGGACAAGCTTATGGCCATCGAGGAATGGGAGCAATGGGAGTCTGGTTGCGTGTGGTCAAAAGATGATGACACAGATGAAGTTTCATCAGACGAGGCGTAGCAAAGACGTCCTAGATAATAACGACCGGGTAGAGGAGGATTGATCAATTGGGGCTCATGGGAGTAGGAAATGACTGTTTGTGTTGTGCTGATAGTGTCGGAGAATTTATTCTGTTAAGTGTTTTGGTTGTGTTTTGGAGTTGCAGCATTAATAGGCCAGATAACATGTGGATTATTCATTTAGTAAAGCAGACTGAGGGATTGTGGGCTGAGAGCTGAGATTCCTTGTGTGATGTGTGATAGTAACGTATGAAGAATATGTGAAAATTGTAATCCCCTGAGCTTCTATGCATCCCATATATTTCTGTACACAAATGACACATGTAAACAACATCCTGGCAAGTATACAGCATAGCCTAAACAAGGTCAGGTATAGGCTGTCATGTAAACATGAAGGCCTATTATGTGATGCCTATAGCAGTCTTGTAATAGGCATTCGTGTACACACGCACCTGTATAGGCACTGTTGTTTACAACATCACATGTAGACACATCTGTATACCAGTCATGTTCACCACATAGCCTAAACAAGATCAGGTATAGGCTGTCATGTAAAGGGCATCACATATTACGTTATGCGGTCTTGTAATAGGCGCTCATGTACACACGCACCTGTGTAGGCACTGTTGTTTACAACATTACGTGTAGACGCATGCATATACCTGGCAAGTATACACCACGGCCTAAACAAGGTCAGGTATAGGCTGTCATGTAAAGGGCATTGCATATTACGTGATGCCTATAGCGGTCTTGTAATAGGCGCTCATGTACACACGCACCTGTATAGGCACTGTTGTTTACAACATCACGTGTACACATATCTGTATAGCTTGGAAGTATACCGCATAGCATAAAGAAGGTCAGGTATTCTACATATATACAGGGTCCTCTATTAGGCAAACATGTGCATATGTCCCTCTTTAGGTCTGGGCCTTTATTTCTCGTATAATACGTGTACACCTAACTGGCCTATATACCTTTCACCTATTTTCCCGAATATCTCGCCTATACAATGCCCGAAAAAATACAGACGTTGATGGACCAGATTCGCACGCTGGATTGGTGGCGACTGCCGAACCCTCCGTCTCTTCGGGTGTTCGGGTGAATGGATGAGGAGGGGTCCCTGAAGGCTGGATCCGCCGCCTTGGACTTACAGTTCGTATGGCGAAGTACAGTGTGGTAGTGGTGGATGGTGCTATAAGGTGATAAATGATCTAGAACTGACAATGTGATAAAGCGGCCCAGAAGCTCCCACTCTGTAACATTAAAAAAAAAAATATATCCCATGCGGTTTCCCAATGCGGCTTAACTTTGTGCCATAATTGGTTGCCATTTGGAATTTTTTTTAACTTCAACTGGTTGTCATTGCTATCCATATTGCGCTTTGGTTTCTTCGATACATCAGCATTACATGGGGGATGTGAACAGCTCACTGAAGACCAAATACCATTCAAGGCCAACATCTGGGTAGCCGGTGTCCTTGTACATGCAGCACTCTGTAAGGTTTGCGGTAGGACTATACGACCCAAATTTTTGGTGCAGAGAACTCCGCCATTACAGCCCGATCTGGCAGCACCAGGCAATAAGCGCAATAAGCAGGTAGGGTCGCCAAAACAGGCCGCACCAACAGCAGCAGCAGCAGCAGCAACCCTTCCAAAGACCTTGACCGTGATGCGGGCAATACATTGACGAACGAGTTGTGACAGCTGCCTATTTACATGCATGGGTGTCATTTCGAGTGAGTTACCCTCGATAACCCACAGGATTGCCTGGGAATGCCCTGCAAGGCACCAGCTGGTGTCGTGTTTATCTTGTCGGCCCGTTGAGCAACTTTGCCGCAACCAGGAATCATCTAACATTCTATAATAGCCGTAAACGTGTAACATTTTAACTTTTTGAAAGGATCCCAAATTTTGTCGCGGACACACCATCAGGATCTGACAGGGTCAGATAACCTTAATTTGGGGCTCCGTCGCTTCCCAAATGCCCCAAAAGCGCGTTTAGGTGCACGGGAAGGCGAGCAACATTTTCCGGCATTTGATCATGGAAGTAGGAGGAGCCCGTCCGCGTAACTATTTTACTTCCATACTTTTCGGTTTCGGCTTGTGCTGGCAGTATTTGGGTTATTCATTGTCGCAAAAACTCGCCAGCTTCTCATAGTAGCATCGTTTTTTGTTTGGCCCCGGACGGACTCATTTAGGGCCGTGCATTCTGTAGGGACATGACACCAATCCCTTAGATTCCATTTTACAGCGCGCGCTTGCGTACTTCCGCATATGTGACTCCAAGCCCAGCTGTTCTCGCTTGTCTCAACTCCCAGAGCGCCTGAACAAGGATCCACAACATTTCCCAACGGGTCCATTCGTCCATTTGGCCGCAACATCATTGCTGCTACAGGCCATTTACACGCTCACGTACATTCGTAGTCAACTGTAGTCAATTGTAAATTTGAAAATTTCCCCGGGTTAGTATCCAGCTTCAAATCCACCCTAGCTTCGAGTCCACCGGAGCCAGCCTTACCAGCCGGTTTCCAGGTAACGCCACCAACCAAGCTGCCAGTAATAAAACAACCAAGCCTTCATTAGCGTGAGGAGCATTTAACACAGACAGCAAGCACCCAAAGAGACCGTCTGCTCGACTTGTAGTATTAGTACATTACCTGCTTCATCCATGCATGCGCCACTTGTAGACACGGCGGGCACTAGCACTACCACTATCACCGCCGCTGCCACTACCACTACCACTACCACCGCCACTACCACTGCCGCGCTCACGCCCAGATTGCGGTTCCAAATCGGCCCCCATCTTCCTCCCGCCGTTTGACGACACGCCGCCAGCCTCCAAAGGATCCGGCATATCCCGCAATGGCCCCGGGACCGGATCTGATATTGACGAGCTCGGGCTATCCGCCTCCCCGCCTGAGTCCAGGAGCCCAGCGCCAACCTGGCCAGCCAAGGTACGACCATTGCCCTCCCGCAGCTTTGTCGTATACTCGGAAGCCGACATCGCCTGCACCGTCTGCAGCCTCCCTTTCCCGCCTTCGATGCCTCCTTCCTGCGCTCCTTTTCCCCCTCCTACTTCTTCTTCTTCTTCTTCTTCATCGTCGCGGTCGTTTTCAAATCGGACGCTCAGGCGCTGTATGGTGTGTACGTGCCGCTCTGTGCACGCAGGCAGCACAGGTAACCGCTTCTGCATCACAAAGGTACGGCTCCGTCGCCGCCGCACCCTCCACTGCTCTAACAAGGCCTCCGCCGTCACCATCATCGGCGTCGCCACCGGGTCGTCGTTGCGAAGGAACGGCTGTGGCACCTGCGCTGGGCTCTGTAGAAACTGTTTTGGAGCGCCGTTGTCTTTGGTTTCGTTTGAGCTATGGTTCCGGAGCAGCATGAGCTGCTGTTGCCTTTGCTGTTGCACACGCACACTCATATCAACTACTGTTGTGCCTGGATTCTGTCCCTGGGGCGACTGGGAGTGAAGTTTCTGTCCTTCCCGACCCTCTCCTTGGTTCCGGAGCTGTTGCTGCTGTTGCGGCGTCGGCGGTGCTGGCGGTGGCCACCGTACGGCCGTAGACCCACCCCACGGCGGTCGACGACACGCACCGGCTGTCAAGCCAGACATCAAATTCGGGCCCTGAATGCGTACGATACCGTACCCACGATCGCTGTACAATTGCACGGCGGCATCGTTGGACGAGTCGACGTGCAGCCAAAGCGAGTTGCCGCCCCACCTAGGAGGAGGAGACCAGGGCCGGAGGCGCAACGGCAGGGCACGGCATACGGTGTACGGCGTACGGCACTTAGGGCCTTCACATTGCTTAAAGAAGTGTTTATTTCACGGCAGACTGTCGACATATCTGCTGCTAAGCCAGATCACAAAAGCCTAAGTGTTAACTTTCCCGGCCACCTGCGCTTTGCGCCAAGGGTTATAGACAGACAGACAGACAGACAGACATACAGACATTCAACTTCCGGTATGCAGCATACATACACCGCTGCCCTCTGGTACGACACAGTACCGGACACCGCATGAGATACGACAGATACGACAGATAGGGCGTACAAGAAGGACCCACCTCTTCGCCAAACGCTCCGCAGCCGCCAGCAGCGCAGACCCCGCCCCCTGGCGGCGGTGGCTCTCCCGTACCGCCAGCGCATCCGCATGTAACTGATGTGGCGCCATGGAAGGCAGCGGCGGAGGCAACAGCGCCAACGGCTGAGATATAGACACCAACACGTAACCCACCGCGACGTCGCCGCCGCCTGTCGTACCATGACGGCTACTGCCGCCACCGCCGCCGCGGTCTTCATGTCCAGTTAAGTCCTTGCCACTTGCTGCGGCCGCTGCGGTGCCTGTGGCGGCGACTGTTGGCACTTTGCCAGGACCCGAATACTCTGGCGGCCTCTGCCGTATCCCTATGACGTCATCTGCATGACCCCGCCCCACGACCTGAGGATGCTTGGCCGAGAAGCTAGCGCCGCCGGATCCCGGACCAAATCCGGATCTGGATCCAGCCTTGGATCTGTGTCCGACGGAGTCCGTGTTTGTCCCAGGAGAGCAGTCGTACGCCACGAGGCAGGCCCACATCCGCCGCCGTCGTGCCCGTCGCAGCCCCCGTCTGGGACACAAAATACCATACACATACATACATGCATACGCACATACATACATACTCAGCTCATTTAAATACATATAAACATGTGGATCGACAAACCGACACAACTCGACAAACAATCGAGTAACCAGACAGGCCAGACAGAGAAGCAAACAGAAACATGAAGGTTTATGTTTGGGTACGACCAACGCGTTGTGCATGTTTTCCTCGACTCCGGGACCGAAATGTTTTCTTCGTCTCGGCCCTTCGGAGACGCCTCATAACTAACTAACCTCCTACCTAGCAGTACCCCTTTCCCCAGTGGAGGTACGGAGGACAACCCCCTCAGGAGGCTGGAAAAGCAACACTGGCGTTGAAAAAGCAACATTGGAAAAGCGACACCGACGGAACCCCCGGAAGGGGTCCAAAACGCACACCGTGGCAGCTGAATCAGAGAGAACGAAGGAAAGAGAGAGAGAGAGAGAGAGAGAGAGAGAGGGGGAAAGGGGGGGGAGAAGACAGCTCCCGCTCCCTCCGAAACGCCTCCCTCGCCCCTCTCCAAAGACGGAACGTCCCCACCCGAACCCCCTCACCAACCTTACGGCTTGCAGCCGTCTGATCATCAACAGGCGCTCCAGGGGGTTCAGGACAATCCCGCCACCGCCGCCGCCACCGCCGCCACCACCCGTTCCGTTGCCGCGCCGTTCATTCCCCCCCTTGCTGCCGCTGCCGCTGCTACGGCCTATGGTGTTGGTCGTGTTGATGGTCTGGGTGAGCACTTCGGCCTCCCGGCGCAGGGAGCGACTCTCAGATGCGGCCTTTAGGACGCTTGGGCATGCGGCAGGGGTCATGAGGCAAGCGGCAAGAACGGTGCAGATGTGGTGTGCGTGTGTGTGCATGTGCGTGTGTGTGTATGTACATGGGCTGAGCCTCGGGGACGAAGTACATCATACAGGTTTTTGAGGAAGTCAGTCACAGTATGCGAACTTTACCGAAGACAAGTAGTAGTGCAGTAATAAAGATGTAGTAACAGAAAATAGCTGAAAGGTTTGGAACGGGGGACCTTCGTTCCCCATCCCTTTTATGGGATGATGAAGGTGCGGATAGGAGGAAGACAGACGGAAGAGCGGGTAGAGAAAGCCGTCGCTATAGTGGCGATATGGACTACGGTGTGCTGGTGGGCAGCTAAAGCCAGCTACTGCTAACCACTAGTACAGGTTACGCAAGGACTTTGCGTCCCAACTGGAGAACTCTGAGCCGGTCCTTGTGTGTGTATGTATGTGTTTTTGTGTATATGATTTTGAATATATGTTTTTTTGTATATGTTTTTGTGTTTTTTGTGTTTTTTTGTGTTTTTTTGTGTTTTTTGTGTTTTTTTGTGTGTTTGTGTGTGTTTGTGTGTATATGTCTGCATCAGCCCCACATCGTCCCCGCAGCTCCTCCGTCCCCACTGGGAGCTGTGGAAGCGGAACGGCCGCATCCTGAAGAAGGACGGCAGGCCGTAAAATGGTGACGCCAGGATTCAAAGTGCTAAGGAGAGACCGGGGCTGAGGCCGTACAATGTGCGACGACCGCTCTACTATCAGTCTGCTGTAACCGCCGTACAGAGTTTTTTTTGAATTTATTTTGTCACGGTTGCGTACCCGCAACTTCTTCTCGTAAGCTTGTCGCAGCCGCCGCGCCACGTGTTCCGTCATCTGACGGAGCTCCCCCTCCGCCCGGTCCCCGGCGGGAGGGGGCAGCTCGGTGAGGCCGGGTAGCAGCAGCGCCTGAAGGGCAGTGTGTGCGCGTGTGCGTGCTCATGCGTGTTGGGAAGACTTTCATGCAAAAGTCAAAGTGGAGGTCAACAACAGTCGACATCCAAACCCACCACAAGAAGTCTACGGCTCGCTGTAACACCTAGCAGCATTAGTAGTAGTACTGTTACTACTACTATTACTACTACTATTACTATTACTACTACTATTACTAATCGTACTACTACTATTACTACTACAACTAGAAGTAACTGAAGCAAGGGAATGCAGAGAAGAGAAGTAACAGATTGAAGGCAGATGGTGAATGGTAGTCAGTGAAGGAAGAATATGAAAGAGGGCGTGTAGTGCCTTCTGCAGGGACGTCCATCGGGTCGGCAATATGCGATGGTGGGGGGCAGGGGGCTATGCGTGGTTAAATGGCCCTGAGCGGATGGGTGAGAAGGGGGCTGGGATGGAACACGCGTAGGAACACAGAGGACGCAGGTGCAAGACAGCTATCAAATTACAAGTTACAAGTTACAAGTTATAAGTTACAAGTTCCGCACACACACACACACACACGTGCGGGGGTTGTCCGTAAAAGCCGTGGGGGAGGGGCCCCATGGACGGCTATCGAGCTATGTCTGTGTGCTCTTGGGGACCTTGCGCTCCATTCTGTACGCAGGTGTGAGCGTGAAAGTGAGGTAGCGGGCCCGTGGTGGCCCTTGCACCCTCCCAGTTGCCGATTTTCTTGGATTTGTGGGCGGTGGCTAGCTCACCTCGGCCCACAAGCGTGCAACTGCATCGAAGTCCTCATCTCGGCGCGCAAGCTGGATTCGCAGGCGGCGAGGCTGGGTCACAGGTATTGCACCAGCATCGTCTGGCGTTGCGCGACAGGCCGCTAGTGCATATGGGTCCGAGCGCTGGAAGTTGGTCCGGAGGTGACCGCGATGAGCACAGTGCCGGGAGCTGTTGCTGGCGCGGTAGCTGTATGCAACTCCTGGGGCACGCCATATGCCACGAAACATCGGAACGCTTAAGTGTGACTAGAGGGGCAGGGAAGCGCTATGCTGATAGCGTACATAGCTAGGACCTGGCTAGGACTGTTCGCGCACGCTGAAAAGGAAGCCGTGGCTATGTAAGTTCAATATATTGGCCACCATCAAAGCGACTGTAACACAAAACGGTCATCCGTGGTAGGAGCTAGGAAGCTTGATGTCGTTGTTGTCGTTGTAAAGCCCTCCGCACTCCTCCCATTCGGAACCAACGCCATAGAGTACCTGAGATACGCCAAGGAATAATATAGATTTACATTTTACATTTTACTTACTGATACACTAGACATCCAGGGCCACTAACTTTGTGCCCTCGGCCATTTGTGTCCTCGGCTTTGCATCATAGGAGGAGTCGCGCGCGATCTTAACAGGGAATAAGATTGTTAGTATAAGATTCGCTATGCTCGAGGGGCTTGGCCGGCGCCAGCGGGCCGGCTTGGCACGGGGCCCTAGCAGCTGTGCACTTCAGTGTCCGCATCTCATCGGACAAGGACGGAAGCGGCTGATTGTCCAAGCAAGGGCAGCACGCTATGATCGGCGAAAGCCACCGCCGCCCGACTTGCCATCCCTGCTTTTCGACCAGCGAATTGTTTATCTAGGCATGCCGGTGCGCCCAGATCGCCCAGACCTATCCTGTGGAAGAAGTAAAGCCTGGTTAGGGATGTTGAGCAGTTGATCTTTCCGCGTGTGTAGCTCGTGCCGGCGGTGACGGAGCTCATGGTGGCTGAGCTGCTCTATTTGGAGAAGCAGGGCGCGACGTTGCCAATTGAAATGCTGATCAACTCGTCCGGGACAACGCGCCAGGATGGAGAAATTGTAAGCTTTGTGAAAATTTGCACCGCTAGTCGCAAGTCCCCTGTCCATGTGACAGACGCGAGCACGGATGATCGACCGCCGTTGCGGGCAACCCCATCTTCACCCCTCGCACGTCCACCTTCTTGCAGCTTTCCTTTGACAGCGAGGGCGTCGCGTTGACCTCCACGATGGGCTTTGTCAAGAACCCGGTGAGAGTGCCTCGGGGGCCAAGGGTAGCTGATAGAGAATGTATGCTGTATACACCCAGGAGGGTGCTCGCTTGGCTGAGTTCTCCCCCAGCCAGGAGGCGACGCACTTAGCACTCTTGACGTTGTAAACCCCTGCTTTTCGTTTCTGTTTTAAACATATTACCCCCACTTTTCCTCCCCGCCTCCGCAGATTTCCACTGTTAACATGGGCCTTGCCGTTGGCTGGTCGTGCGTGGTGCTTTCTTTTGGCCGCAAAGGCTGGCGTAAAAGCCTGCCGCATTCCCTAGGTGCGTCGGTGGCGGCGCTGTACGTACGCCACTATGTTCGCCTTCGCTTGCGGAGCGAGGCGCCACGCCCACGTAGCACGGAAACTGCAGAAGCAACGACAACAGCAGTCGCAATAGCTGCAACAACAATAACAACATCACTAAAAAAAGAAGTAATAACACTTAGCAACAGCGCATCCTATGTTTATCCCGCCTCAGGCCCCAAGGAGCTTAATCCCCATCATGCCTTCCCTTCAGCGGTTGGGCCTTCAGTTGATTCTTGGTTTCTTGCATCCTTAGGATTTCCCCCTGCCCCCCGCTCCTCCTCCCCACTTCTCCGTTTCCTCGACTTTGAATGTATTCCCCCCTTCCCGTCCCAACAGCCATGATCCAGCAGCCGCGGGTCCCCCCCACGGGTCAGCGCCAGGCCATTGAGGTGCACATCAAGTGGCGGGAGGTGCTAGACTACAAGCGGGAGCTGCTGCGAATGATGTCCATTGGAACTGGGCTGCCTGTTGATAAGCTGGATGCGGTGAGGCTGTGGGAAGGGAAGGAGATCAGGGCAGGGCAAGGGAGTCGGGAGGGAGAGTGGCGAGGGTAGGTGTAGAGAACCAAAAAGAGAGGAAAGGGAAAGATGACCAGTGGGCAAGGGGTGTAGAGACAGGAGGAAGGCGATGCGGGATGGTGGGGGAAAGGACCAGGAAAAGGTTTCCGCGGAAAGGAATGGTGAGCCGGAACGGAGTAAAAGGAGGGGGGCTTGAGCCTCACCACAACCCCACATCACCACGCGCCTCCACACGGCACGCACCGCGCACAGGACATGCAACGGCCGCTGTACATGCGGCCACGCGACGCGCTGGATTACGGCATTATTGATGAGATCATTCAGCCCAATGCGGAGAAGGCGGAGAAGGCCGCTCAGTACTGGATCAAGAGCGGGCGGGCGGAGAGTGAGGGCCGGCTGGAGCAATGGCAGGAATACCTGTCGCTGCAGGAGGAGTATGCATTGAAGGATAGCTTCCGGAAGGTGGTGGCGCAGGTGAGGAAGCGGGGGAGGGGTGCCAGGAGGTGAGGAAGGTAGGACTGGGAAGGCGGATGTTGGCGGTCAGGGGAGAGGGTTTTCCGGTTGGCGTTCTGGGGTTACTAGAGGTCAGAAGCAATGGTTATGAGTGGCTTGGGGAAACGCGTGTTCCACCCAGTGAACATGCCTTTGGATCCGGTTAAAACGTTGTCCCATTTCTAGGCACTGGATCTGTCCAGCGGCATCAACCGTACCGTTTGCATGTGGCCCTAGCGTCCTTGCTTGTGGCTAGCTTGCTAACCTACCGGACGCCATCTTCGCGCGCTCGCTACTTGGCTCATGATTTTGCAATTTCTCCTGCTGGATTTTTGCGCATTTGCTTTTTTCGACATGCCTTTCTTACATCATCTGGTATGTATGCGCTTACGTCTTAACTCGTCCACCCCGTCAGCGTCACCTTTTCGTCCCACACTGTCGCTCAGGCTGACTGTACGTTTTAGGAAACTGAGCTGACCGTATGTCTGTCCCTGTTCGTTTACCAGAACCTTCGTAACGCCTACCGGGAGACGAGTCAGAAGCTGCTGGCAAATAGCGAGCAGAACAAGGAGCAGGTACGAAGCCGACGTGAATAGCGGGAAAGACACCGAGGACAGGGCTTCTGAACTGTTGTATGGAGAAGGGGTCTCCCACCACTTCAGTTTTCTGTGAAGAAGGCCCCACATCAGCACCTTCGTCGCTGCTGTGGCGGCGCCGGCGCCGACTTCTTCATGGCCCCAGCGCGTCACGCATCTCCTAGGGCCAGAATCCCCCCATGCTGCGTGGTCATCCGCGGGCTGTTGTTGGCCGTGCATTTGGAGAGGTCGTTCTTATCCGGTACTTTCCTGGCGTCATTCTTAGGTCAACCAAGCCATCCGGCAAACCAACCACTGCATAAGGCACAGCCCAAGATCAGTGCGGCTGCCCAAACCACACACCCTCCTGATCCGTTTCCGCCGCCTGTGATGTCCTCCTCGTGACTCCTACCGCCGCAGCTGGCGACGTTCACTGAACGGTTGGGTGAGGACTTGTTGACTGCGGACGGGGAGGTCCGGTTGCCCTTCAGCCGAGAGGGCATCCGAATGGCGGTGCTGAATGCGGAGCGGTACGCGGAGCGCAACGTGCGGAGACAGGTGGAGGCGAAGGAGGTGAGTGCCACAGGGGGATTGCCACAGGAGAGGACGAGAGGGCAGGGAGATTGGGAGCGAGGGCGTGAGGGGCAGGAAGAGTGAGGAGAATCGAAGCAGTTCCATGGGGATGGGCTATGTGTCCCCTAGGGCCGTGGAGGTCTAAAAGCCTGCCTCCCGACACGTAGTAGAATCATCGCGTGCGCTAGCGGAGGCACAACTGGAAAGTGCGCCCGGGCAGTTGACCGGGCACGGCACGGCAAAGCGGTCATATGTTGTTACGGTGTGGGAGGCTTTGGGGGCATTTGCACGCAATTGGATTTTCATGTAGGATTAAACGCCATACAGCACCATCCACCATTACCACACCGTACTACGCCATACGAACTGCAAGTCCAAAGCGATTGATTGTGCCTCCTAAAATCCCTCGTCCTTTCACTCGAACATCTGGAGAGACAGATGTTCGCTAATCCAGCGTGTGAAGCGCGGCCCATCTATTGTGACCCCAACTCCACATCTCAGCAGCTAGCCATAATTATCACGCTCCCGACAATGTCGGGGGTCTAACCAGGATTCGTGCCCAGGACCTCCAACCGCAAATTGCAGTACTGACGCCGGACCAGACCTCGTATGTGTCGGGCGCGCATCCCTTCTCGTAGAGTTTTTGCGTCCATCATCTGTGGCATCGTTCAAAGAACGCTAAGCTGGATAACATTCCTTTTAGGTGTTGGATATGAATATGAAACATACTATTCCATTTGAAGCTCCTGTCCTCACTCACGTGTTCCTGCTGCTCCAATGCTCACCCGCGACTCTTCTTTTCAGGTGGCGGTCCCGGACAACTGGCGTGATACCATCCAGCGCCAGGCCGCCGAGGCAGCGCCCTCCGCTTCGGTGCCTACCGCTGTTGACTACGACGCGCTCATTCGGCGGGTTGAGGCAATGGGCGATCAGGAGTTCGCCGGCGTGGATCTGGACCAGCTGGTCGAGCAGTTCCGAGTGGGTTTTGAAAGGGGCTCGGGTTCTTGGTTCGTTGGTAGGGGTGGACGGATGGTCCTGTGTGAGTCTTAAGCTCTTCTCCGCAAGATATTAACTGCGTGCTTCCGGCTCATATTGCCTCGCCCATCCTGCATCTTCTGTCTCTTTTTAGGCCCACATTGGTGTCGGTGTTGTCAACGCCTTTGCTGTCCGTCCGAATATCTATAATTATACATTGCCCGCGACCTGCCTCGCGTTAATTGTTTCTGTGCTTCTCCATTGCGCCTTTGGTGTACGTGATCGTGGTCACTGCTGCACCTGCAGGTACCTGCGTAAGGAATGGTCGAGGGTATCCGTAAGTATATTTTTTTTGTCTGGGGGCCGAGACTCGGGAGTATCGTTGGAAAAGGGTCGTTAACATAGAGTGATTAAGGGCGGGGGAGGATCGCGTGCGGATCGGGTAAGTCCTTTATGGAACGTGCAAGGAAGGGAAAGGGCAGAGTGAGAATATGAAAATATGTAGAGATGCCGCGGTTGCAGTGTTGGGGGTCGCGAAGGCGGTAGGGCAGGTTCTTTAAGTTTCTGACATACGCCAGTGACGCCACCGGTTTTAGTTACTCGGTGCGAATTCACTGCTATACCTGTGGTACAAATCGTTTTCCTTTTGCACTGACAGATGTGGTGGGCGGTTATATATATATATGGGGAACATAGGTTACGATGTGTAACGTAACGATATGCAGTTGTTGGTTAAATGACATCGTAATTTAAATGTATCATGATTCTCTACATCTTATTCTTACTATGATTCACCTTCACTTTGCTCCCTTGACAGTGCTCATACGGGATACCGGGAAAGTTACAAAATTAAAACGAACACATGATAGGCACCATCAAGTACACTATTTGTCCTCGTCCACTTTCTGCCATAACCGCGCATCCTTCTCCAGCAAAAGGTTCATTCAACACACAGGCCTGGCAAAAGCTCCACATCACACAACACCCTCAGAACCTATTATACTGCAATGGGCTTATTTTCACTGCGCTATTCAGCGGAAGTTCTGTTGCCCAAATTCCAATCTAGTCTTGATCGGCATGTCCACAGAGTATGTTCCAACGCGATGTGTCAGGACAATCCCAAGCAGGTTAAGAAAGAGGTCAATTCAACTACCAGGACAGTGTTGGGCCTCGGATGTGACAACTTCCAAGTGGGCTGCACAAGTGCCCCGCGACTCCGGGGAGCCGGTATTCTGCTGGCTACCCGGCCTAAGCACAACGCACAAGACATGCAAGCCGACCCAAGGCCTTGCATCCATGCCTGACTGCACACATGGGAAAGACGTTAGCCTTCCGCTCCTAGTGTAATTCCCTATTTCCACCCCCCTTGCCCATGCTCCTCTCTCCGCGACAACCACCCAACACAGCCAGACCGATATAGTAACATGCAACCCTGCATAAAAAATAGCCCCAACAGTCCAAAGCAATCGCGACCTGGGATTCAGCCCAAACACTAGTATTACCAAGCAGACCTGACGGGCACAGCTTCTATCACAGCTAATATATGGTGCGTGCTTGGCTCATTCGTTGAAGTAATAACATGGGTCGTAAAGCGGAGGGTTCGCTGCTCAGCAGCACCGACGCTCAAATGTGCGTGGTGGGAACGGCGTCCGGAATCTGCTCTGATTGCTGTACGTTGCAATCACCTCGTCGCCAGATCTAGCGTACATCTCCCACGTCGGGACGTTTGCTTCTCTTAATTCGCGTGCTTGGCAGCAAACTCCTGCACGTGCAAATAACCAGATGGTCAACACAATGGTTCAAAGCATGTCCTCGCCGCATGGGAGATTGAGATTGTCCCCTCAAGAAGCACCATTTTATCCAATCAAACGGTCGCACTGCTCCACCATGGACGCCACCCCAGGGACTTCTCCATTTCCCGCACGCCTTTCCCATCTTCCCACCCGTTCTCCTTACCCATCCTCCGCCCATCGCCTTACCACTAATACCTACCTTCATGAAGGTAGCCAGCTGCTGAACGCCCTCAATCGGCATGGCGTTGTAGATTGAGGCGCGCATACCGCCGACAGAGCGGTGCCCCTTAAGCTGGAGCTGCACATTATGAAAGAGCATAAGAAGGGGACGGTTAGGATTAGAAAGCTGAAGGGGAGCGCGACTAATCCGCAGTCGTGGGGATCAGAACAACAAACATAGGACCCAAATGGGAAGTGGGTGACCAGTGCATGGAGCTTGGACACAGCAGGCAAGCATCAGCCGGGTTCCTATGTGATAGCCGCAGTGACATGTGCTGCAAAAGAGAGCCGTGCTATGATATGCCAATCGCAAGCACGACACCAATCAATTCCGTGCAGGAGTCGCTCCTCCGGCACAAAGACTGGCTTTGCGAAAATCAACACCCCGGTAGTTTCCCTCCACGCGTGGGGACTGGGATAGGAAAGCAAGTCCCAAATCTAAAGCACAATGGGTGAGCGAGCGGGCGCGCCACCTGGGCTCCTGGCCTGGGCCTGCCAATTAAGTCCAATGGCCGTTCTCGGGTGCACCGCCTTCTCCTACATATCATGAGTTTTGGATACCCGTGCATACCACATACCTTCTGCTTAAGCACTTCCCCTAAACCATCTTGTGATAAAATGTGCATGTATAATTCAACCTCGTCCTCTTCCCCCTGCAATCAGCACTCACCATGCCGGCCTTCTCCGCCTCCTTGACAAACACCTTCTCCAGGTCTGGCTGCGATGGAATTGTGAAGGGCACGTTCATCAAAGAACGCACCGCTGGGTCAACGGGGCTGCTGTAGAAACCGTTGGAAGAGGCAATGGCATCGTACAATACGGCCGCCTTCTCCTCGTTAAGCTTTTGCATCGCCTCCAGGCCACCCAGCTTAAGCAACTTCTCAAACACGAGGCCGCAGATGTAGATAGACCAGCACGGTGGCGTGTTGTACATGGAGTCGTTCTCAACATGGATCTTGTAGTCAAGCATCGTGGGCGCCTCGGGGCGGCAGTGGCCTATCAAATCCTCGCGAATAATAACGATCGTCACACCAGCCGGACCAACGTTCTTCTGGGCGCCGGCGTAAATTAGGCCGTACTTGGAGACGTCGAGCGGCTTCGAGATGAAGTTGGACGACATGTCGCTGACCAGTACCCGGTCGCCCACGTCCGGTGTCGACTTAAATTCCACGCCACCAATGGTTTCATTATCACAATAATGAACATAACGCGAGTCCGGTGTGAGCTTCCAGCCAGAGACCGGGGGTAGCGACTTGTTATCGCCCTTGGCGGCGATGTTCACGTTGCAATACTTCTTCGCCTCCTCCGCCGCCTTCTTGGACCAGGCACCCGTAACCACGTAGTCCACAGTCTCACCAGCCTTAGCGAGGTTAAGAGGAATCATAGAGAATTGAGTGCTGGCCCCGCCTTGGAGGAAAAGCACCTTGTAGTTGGACGGGATATTTAGGAGAGCGCGCAGGTCGGCCTCCGCCTTCTGAATAACACTCTCAAACTCCTTCCCGCGATGGCTCATCTCCATAATACTCATACCGGTGCCCTGCCAGTTGACGAGGTCCGCTTGAGCGCGCTCCAGGACGTCAACCGGAAGGATGGCTGGGCCCGCCGAGAAGTTGAAAACGCGACCATGCGGCTGCGCTGCTGTCGATGATGGCGCCGGCATCGCAACAGTAGCAGTCACACGAACAGTCGGAATGCGGCTGACAGTCGCGCGGCCGGATGGCCTGCGGCCCGCAGTCAGCTTGCTCAGCTGGAGCTGCATCGTTTCCGGAATTAAAATCTTGGAAAGATTGTCCCTGAAGAGCTTACAGCAAAGAACACACTGCCGACTGTGAACAGCACTAAAATTATAATAACGGTATAAGCACGTTTGCATAATTGAAAAGGCGACTGCACGTGGTACGGGTACGGCAGCCACGCCCTGCGCTCTCTTATCATGGCACGATGAGGCCAGATGTTTGACAAAACGTTTTGGAAGATCAAAGTCATGTTACACCTGCTGACCAGCAGCTGTGTCGCCTGTAGGGCATCGACAGCATCCGCATGGTACTTCTGCAGCCTCACAAGCTATAATTTATGTATACACACATCAGGGGAAAACCTCTGCATTTGCAACGCTGTACGGCGGAATCGGAAGGTGTTGTGGCGTCATGCACGGCGTAATGAACAAGGGCTGTTTCCGAAACTGACATACCCTCTATGGGGTTTTGGTGTTTAACAATGGGAAGAGACGGTAGCGCTGCTCGAGTTGGTTCGCGTGGTTATTGGGCACGAAGAATAGGGAACAGAACCGACACGGAATAACTTCAACGCGCGGGCTTATCGACAGCGACCCTCTTATTTCACCAGCAGACGTGCCGTGCCGTGGGGCCGCTTGCTGGCCTCCTGCAGCGGGAAAAAATGAGCTCGATTGCAGTAAGTTCATCACCACTGCGCACCTCAATGCGCCCCACCGTCAAGCGCCATTTCACATCCCCATAGCAGATTATGAGGTTTTGGAACCGTGTCCGTTTACAGCGTGGGTCTGTGGCACACCAAGTTTTGCGACAGGAGGTCGCAGAGTCCCTCTTCAACCCCGAAGGGGGCGGATGGGGATCACTCGTCCTCCGTTTTTTGAGTTTTCTGGGGCACGACGTATGGAAAGAGGCCCCCAAAAGGCTACGTGAGGCAGATGAACGAGTGGAGTGGCTAATGAAAACGCGGTTCCCTTGGGCGGCCCCCAGGGGCGGTTCCCCTCGTGAGCGGTTCCCTGGTGCTCCCGCATATCAAAACATGTATCCCGCGTTCAGCGAATTGTAAGCTTATGGTTTTGCTGTTGGGTGTTGGCGGCTAACAGAGCACGCAAGGGATGGAGTTATGTACCTAGGGCAGAGCGGGTATGCCCCTGCTGCGGCACTGATAGCCATATCGAAGATGAGCACACATCTTGCTGGACTATCCGATGTACGGCGAGATCAGATCTGATATGGATTTCTCACGCTTTGAGCATATGAAGGACGCTACGAAGTGGGAACCTGAACGTCTGGCGAAGATGCTGGAACGTACGTGGTCCCACCGCAACTCAATCGTTCCCTTTGGTCCTTAGTCTCCCTTACCACTTGCTTTGTCTGAAGTGCGAGGCAGGATAGTGCTTATAGGCGATCTGGCAGGCTGCCAGTGGCAGCCCTTGAGCCCTTGGCTTTTATTGCGCGGTTTGCAGGTACGGGGTATGCAACCCCACGACCACACACACACATTCCCATATCGAGAAATTCCCGCGCTCTACAAATGCATGCGCACCAGCACGGCATGGGTATCGACGTCCATCATTAACGAATACTACGCGACGCCACAACCTACGAAATCATCCAACCTGCCATGGCGGCCATAACGTGACATCAGGTCTTCATACACCAAAATAAAATGTCCTCACTAACCTCATAGGCCCCCAAACCAGGCTGAGCAACGTGTCTAGAGCGGAGCGATCGGCTTACCATCATTTCGTCAGGCACGGCAAGGAAGCATCAAGTTCCCATCCTCATCACTGTGGTTTACCACACTCGCAGCGACATGGAGGGGGGGTCTGGACAGAACACGAGACATCGACACGGCAAGGCGCAACCCCTGGGAGGGCGCCCCCGTGATTCCGCTAACTTGAAGTTCCTCGCTCCGAAACACCTTGGTGCTACACAGCACACTCAGCTGACTGAATACACCATATCGGCACACTTCCCGGTCCATCGCCCTGATATGGTCCTGGGTGGCTTGTGCTTCAGGTACACATGATGACGCATCAGCGTCGCCTGCATGCCTTGTCAGGTATCGCACAGCGCGGCCATAGGCCATCCTCGCCAGGTCCTGCTCGGCCCGACGACTTAAAATTATTTAAGGATGCAGGATTTCGTGCATGCGTGTTGGGGGACTATAGACACAAGAGAGCCCACGGCTCAGACATGACCGGCCTTAACGCCGACCTGAATAAATACCACCCATTACATCCCAGGAGAGGGGATGGGCACGTGGGAGGTGAGAGAGCCTTAAAATCACAAACCACCACGAAAAAGCAAAAGAAAAAAGAAAAAGAGAAAGAAATAAAGAATGCGTGCGGCCCAGATCGCTGTTGTTGCTGTAGTTGTTGTTGTTGGTGGTGGTGGTGGGGATGGGGATCAGGGTGGGGTGGCCCCCACACACACGAGGTCGCGCCACCAGCACACGCCCGGACATTACACACACTCTGAGCATGCTTGTGTGACACATGCCCGTCCCCACCAAGGCCCACATGGGCCTCATGCTGGGCATGATGCGCTACCTATCCGGCACCTGCACACTCGGGCTGCGGTACCGTGGTGACAGCTGCAGCGACACCAGCGACTTCGGCGGGTACAGTGATGCGGACTGGGCCGGTGACCCAGCCACCCGCTGGTCCACCACAGGCTACACATTCTTGCTCGGCAGTGCAGCGGTCAGCTGGAGCAGCCAGTTGCAGCGCACCTTGGCTGCCTCGTCCGTGGAGGCCGAGTACCAGGCCGCCACAGCAGCCGTGCACGAGGCACTATGTGGCTGCACAAGCTGGCGGGCGACCTGGACCTGTCACCCGGCGCCATCAACATCCAGCTGGATTCACAAGGCGTGCTCAGCCTCGGCAACAACCCCATCACGTTGGTGCGCTCCAAGCATATCAATGTGCACCACCACATCATGCGTGAAATGGCCGTGCACGGTGAGGTTAAGCTCAGCTATTGTACCACCAACAACACGGTGGCTGACATTCTCACCAAGGCACTGGGTGAAATCAAGTTCATGCACTGCTGCACGGTGCTGGGCGTCACTTACTGTTAGTCGGGAAAGCATGGAAAAGAACGCCCCAAGGAATTCAAGAGCCACCCAAAGACGGGATACACGCGGCTTTCATCAGGGCAGGTCCCCCAACCAGCACGTATGGCGATAGCCTGTCACACAGCTGCTCCACCATGCGCCATGCATGTCTCGATAGGCCAGGTTAGGCTGGTACGGGGGGTGCCATGTACCCACGACCCGTTAGCGCGTTAACGCACATGCACTTGCGTGTGTGTGCATGCACGTGTGTCCGTGGTTCCATGCGTATGCATGTTTGATGGAGAAATCAGCCCCCTTTGCTGCCGCGACTCCTGCAAATGCATGTGTACATGTACTGGTAAACCTTGTCTGTCCGTATGTATGTCAGTCCAATTATTTATATGCGTGTGTGCGCGCAACCTTCCGTTCGTGTCCGTGTATTCACCGAAATAACAAAATTAACCGGTTGTCAGCATTGCCTTCCATTTCCAACCAAAAAGAAGCTGCAACGCAGCCGCGGCCGATGATCAACTCCCAAAGCGAGCCGACCGGGTACAACCTGCTCTTCCCCCCGCCCGCCCGCCCTCCCCAACGGCATGGATTTACAGGTCTGGACATAGCGCAGCACACCGCAATCCCGGTGCGTGTAGAGCATGCAAGGATTGACATGCAAGCTGGCTGGCGGATAAACACAGATGCAGCGCCAGGCGCACGGTGTATGTTGCGATTCGGTATGCAGGAAGACCCGTGCAAGGAAGACCCGTGCAAGGAAAAACCCTGCATACACAGTCAGCTGTCTCACCAACCAACCAACCAGCCAACCCAGCCAGCCGACCGTTCTCAGCACCGCAACCCACCGCTCTCCCGCCCCCGCAAACGCCACCTTGCACGCCACCACCTGCTCAGTCAATCCTGCAATCCATACCCCCCTCCCCCCCTAGGTTCACCCCCACGTTCGTGTTTCGTGGTTCGTCTTCACTTAGTCGGCCCCATGCCCCTCTCGACCAAACAGCTGAAAAGAGCAAACAGCCAAAAATAAGCCCTCCATCCTTTGAGCCATGACGCGTTCCGCTCCTTTCCTCATAATGGCTGGTAACGCTGGTCATTAAAGAAAGTCGCCAACACTACAGGGAGCTGCTACTTCGCCTATATCTGATGCTACAGCTCCTGCAACAGCTGCTGCTGCTTCGTCTACAGCTGCTGCGTGTTGGGCCGGGGTCCCCGGGGGCCAAACAACTTGCTACTTAGCGACACGGCCGCAGCCCATGCGGCTCGTGTTGGGGAGGTGTGGTGAAGCGGCGAGGAGCCCGCCTCCGCCTCCGCAGATGCGGCGGAAGCGCCCGACGCCGACACTACTTCGAGAGGTCGCTGGTCGCTGCTGCCGCTCCTAGCTGCGTCTGCAGCGGCAGCGGCGGCAGCAGCAGCCGCGGTGGCGGTCGCAGCGGCGAAAACGCCTACGGTACGAGCCTGACAAACGTCATCCTCGACAGTTTCCACCTCCGTGATCTCCGTCGCCACTGCAACCTTACTGCCGTACCGCAGCGGCGTCGGCGGCGGCGCTGCCATTTTCACAGATGTCGCTGCTGGCGGCGATGGCGGCGGCGAGGTTCTGTGCAGTGACCCAGCAGCACGGTGCTCCCCATTGCCGTATCCTGTCGCTGTCAGCGGCGGCGACGGCGCCGCCGCCGCAGCCGCCACCGTGGCGGAGCCCTGACTACTCGTGACGGACGTATTTGCACCCAATGCGGCGCCCAAAGACCCGAGACGGGATCGCTGCAGGCTGCTAGCATGGATTTGGATCGCTGCAGGTCCGCCGCCGCCGCTGCCGCCTCCGTCACCTTCACCTTCCGATGCATTGGTGCTTTGTTTACCGTCAAGCCGCTGCTGCTGCTGCTGCCGTAGCGGAGTTGATGGCACCGCCGCCGCTGCCGTCGCTTGCTGCTGCTGCGGCGGCGGCGGCGGCTGTTGCAAGTGATTGCTGTGGCGCCGGTAGTTGTTTTGGTGTGCGGTCGCTCCCTCCCCCCCCATCGTTGAAAAGGAGTTGAACTGGCTGCTGGCGGCGCTGATCGAGGAGATGGTGTCCTCTGAAGGCGGGTGCGAGGGCGAGGTGGAGGCAGCAAGCGGGGTGGGGCCCGGGCGGAGGGACTGGTGAAGGGGAAGGGGCTTGGGGAAAACAAAACCCAGGCACGGGCACAAGCACGGCACGGGATAACCCCGACGAAAGGAAAGCCCGGTATGGAGGACGCGGGCGGACGGACAAACAGATGAACAGGGAACGAAGTTCAAAGGTATTTTCGACAAGCAGCCCGGCATATGCCTTGATGGCTGGCGGTGACGCCAACAGCGTTAGTGTTTTCACAAATGGGGGTAAACATCTGGGGGGGGGTGACGCACTACATACATACACACACGCGCGGCTCAGTTAATTTTGAACACACGCATACACACACACACCACATGCACACGCACGCAGACACTCACCTGCCATCGGCATCCCCCCTCCCTGGCCGGTGAGGCCGGACATCCCAGCACCTTGCGACGTCCGTGACGACCGCAAACCGCCGCCGCCGCCGCCGCCGCCGGCGTCTTCCATAGCGCCGCCGCCGCTAGGTCCGTTGCCACTACCGGGTCGAGAACGTGACACGCGCTGCCGTACAGGGCTGGCAGCACCGCCAGGTGCCCCCAGGCTACCAGCCGCCGCGGCTGCGACCGCCGCCAGGGCGGGCCCACTAGCGCCGCCGCCGCTGGCGCTGCTGCGGTACGGTAGCGGCGGGCGCCCCGGAGTTAACCCGGTTCCAAAGCCGCTGACGGACACAACCGTCGGACCCGCTGCACCGCCGCCGCCGCCAAATGTTTCAACCGGCGACGTCGTGGTTCCGGTCGCTAGTGAGTTAAGGGACCGCTCGGGGCCGGGTTCCGGAGCCGCCAGTGCTCCCTTCCAAGCCGTCGTAACGCTCCCCGTCGGTACTAGCGCCGGCGGCAATGCGCTCGCGGCCGTGCTGCCCGGCGCGCCTCGCGCCCTCGCCGCCGCCGCTGCCGCCGCCCCGGATGAAGACACCCTAGACGGCGACAACAACTGCTGCTGCTGCTGCTGCTGCGGCCCTCCGGATCCGGGCCGCTCGCCGCCGCTGCGGTCCAACGTCCCGCCACGACTCTCGGTCCTGCTGCCGCCGCCGCTGCCATGAACCCCTAAGCTGTTCCGTGCATTCTGCTGCTGCTGCTGCTGCTGTGCGGAGGAGGAGGAGCCGGGTCGGCTGTTATCTGCAGATCCCGCCGCCGCCGCCGCCACCGCCGCCGCCGTCGCTGCCCCTGTGTTGCTGCTCCGCGGATGGTCCATCGTGTTGAACAGCATGCGGCCATGTCCTCGTGGGCTGGCGATGGAGCCCGGGGTGCTGGGCAGCGGGTCCGCCTCCAGACCCACAGACAGGGATGGCAGTAGCGAGCCGCAGGGGCCGGGGCCGGGGCCGGGGCCGGCGCCTGGACTGCCCACAGCCGAGGCGGGGCGGCTGCCGCCGCCAACGCCACGCAGCGGCGAAGCCGTCGCCGACCCAGGGGTCGTCGGCGGCTGCCCTGACGCTGCCGCTGCGAGCGCGGCGGCAGCGGTGGCGGCGGACCCACGGATGGGCGGCGGGTGCGTTGCTGCGTGGCGACTGAAGGGCCGGGCGCGTGCTGCTGGCCCTGGCCACGACAACTATCGAGAACCGGAAGAACCGGGTCGTTACCATGGTGAAGGGTCGGGAAGGGTGCGCGGGGAAATGGAAGCTGGAAAAGTATGGGGATGCGATCCGTTTGGTTGAGGGCATAACGGAACGGAAAGCGTTCGCAGGAGGCTGCTCTGGATGCTTTTCAAGGAGGGGCTTGGCATGTGGCTTAAAGGCTGTGGTGTTGGGAGTTCAGGCGACAGGTTGGTATGGGATGTATAACTGTTAGCTTCGACAGCCGCCTCCGCAGTAAATTCTGTCAAACACGGTCGATACATTGTTTCACATGATACTGCAGTAATAGCATGACTATGGGAAGGGTTGTTCTTACACAGAGGACGTTGCGTCCAGGCAAGGGCCGGGGAACGCGACTCACTGCTGTTGACTGCTATTCCAGCAAACTTTCCGGGTTCCCTAAAAACATTCGGCAGCCGCACATCATCACGTACCGTTTGGCCTCTCGGTCCGCCGTCTTGAAGCCTGCCCAGGTCGGTGAATACAAGCATTTTGCGTTCCGGGGGCTGCAAGCAAAAAACCCATCTGGTTGCGTACCCCTGATCAACTTTAGTCCGTAACATAGATGGGGTTCGCGTGTGCAATATAGCATAGAATGTATAATCCAGAGCAATTGGCTCTGAACCTGAAACCGTAAAGCGGAACTTACGATGCCAGCAAGGCTCCCGCCGATGTCACCATATCGACGGTACAAAAGCCATAACACTCCAGTCAGAATGATAACGCCACCAGCGACTCCAAGTGCTATTCCAACGAACTTGCTGACGTCCGTGCCGTTACCGTCCTCCAAAAGAGCCCGCATTTCTGTTGCCGTGATGATCTATTCTAGGATTAAGATTTGCATTTAAGAGCGTTCTCACATTATGGAGACCAGCAGTGCATCAACTGCTCGCGCACTTGGGACATGTCCTTCCATAGCACACCACACAGGTTTGCCAGGAAGCGGGTCGGATTAATTCAAGCGCTTTTAGATATTATTATCTGTTACTGTCTAGCATCGTGTCGATCATGTCGATTAGGGAAACAGCGTACGGAAGCTGTCTAGCTATGAAGCTATCTCGTTATATTGATACCTAATTTGGGCCCGAAACCGCGTCATGCCCAAGCAAAATCGATCTTCAGCTCTTGGCTTAAATTAGCGCTACTCTGTTCCCGGGTGCTCGCACGTACAGTACCTTCGGCTTGGCCATAAAGATCCCCGATCCCCAAATCGCGCTTATTCGGCAGTGGGTTTCCACTTCCCCTCCACTTTGTCTTCAGGTAGCCAAGTTATGCCCTGGTAAGTTAAATTTCGCACGCACCGTGACTGTGGGAGGCTCCTCCGTGGGGACGGCACTTGACGTTCATGGCGTCCTGAAGCTTTACAGCGTCACCAGGACTTACCCACCTTGTTCCATTCATATTTGGCTCCAATACACGCATATACACATACACCCATGCCATGGAAAACACAGGCTTACTGACCTGCATGTGGCCGCTGTCCTGTTTTTCTTTCTCCCATACCGTACTTCGTTCGGCCTTGGCTGGTTAAGGCGAGCATGCTTGAACAAGGAAAATGTTACACACGGAAGCTTGCTTGCAGTGTTATTTGTTCTGGTACCTGGGCAGTGTCTGCTTAACGAGTCTAGCGGTGTGGGGGGCCCTGCAACATGGGGCCCCCGCCTGTCTGTCCCTGAGGTGAACTGCGTAGAGGCTAGCGTGGCTCTGCTGGCCATGCAAGGTAGTCAGCAGTTCTGCGCGGTTCGGCTTCGAACTTTACAGCAACGTGGGTTTATGATGAGACGAATGCGCCGATGGACTACCTTTGGTTGGGATCAACCGTGCTAATACTAAGCCGTGTCAGTACTAACAAGACTATTTAATTAAATGGGCAAACGTACGAGCACGTACGAGCATGTATGGGCGAGCATGAACGCAGTTCCGCCATCCTCTGCGTGCTGCTAGCTACCTGCTACCCTACCCTCGTTACGTACCCACATGCCATCCTGTCCATGCATACATATAATAATATCTATGCACTCATGCAGGCACTGTACACGCGAAAGGCCCTGTGTGTGAAGGCCCGCTTCCTGCCCTGTTGAGCTGTCCCCGGGGGCTCCACGCAGCCGCAATGCGGTCCTGCTTTGGCCGGAGCAGCTGCTATGTAGGCAGCATTGTGGTTTCGGATCCGTGTCCCTACATTGATATTCACTACAGAACTGTGGCGCACTGCCGGTGTAACGGAGCGGACTGCTGCCGCCATGTACAGACTGTTTGAGTGGAATCGAGGACGGGGATCCCGGCGCCTTAATAGTCCTTTCCTTGCATTCGTCCGCCAGGCGCACCATGCACGCACATGTATGTATGCTTGCCTTTCCAGCAGCTCATCCCCGCACATACATCGTGTACCCATGCAAAGTACCTATGTAAACGTGCACCCGCTACCCTTTCTTTGGTAAGGGATATTTGGGCAAGCGAGGATAGACATACAGCAGTGCGAGGTGGCCGCCTTACGATGCATGGCTCCCTCTATGCAAAATTCGGGCCCTTCTAACAGACAAGGCTTGTCCAGAGGACGGTCTCGACTCACAATCAGTGACATATAAGCAACATATATCAATTGCCAGCCTTCCCTAGGGTTACGGAGGCGGATGGCTCTTGGAGATGCAAGCCCTAGCTAGGATGCTGGAATCCTAGGTCAGGCCCCCAGGAAAACTGGGCTGGAAACGACCCTGGTTGCTGCAGGATGTCTTGTTGCACCAACTCGGACCACTGAAATTCAGAGTGTTTGGGTGAGGGACGCATACGCAATCCTTCCCGGCTTCAGCATAGCCAAGCCAGCCGAAGTTGTAGTCGTTTAGCATCGCTAGTTGAATGTCCCCTGCGTTTGGTGACGACTGTGTTTCCGTCTAGAGGGCAGGTGTGGACGAGGCGGGTAAACGGTACAAGGTTACCACGTGGTACACCTTTGGTTTCCTCCTGCAAATAATGCTGCATTTTATCCTTTTTGCTATATTGTGGCAGCAGTCCATGGTTATCACAGAGAAAAATTACCTTTCGTGAGCATGCCGTACCTCTGGTGGTTAGTACTGGACCCTGATGCGGATTGAGCGCCAAGAATGGTTTTACACCTACTATCAATTGCTCTCAGTAGACGCAGGGTGTTGTACACCTTTGAATCTCCTAGCCTGTCGATAAAGGACTTACGTCGTTGACCCTAACGGAATCCCCATCCAGAGGAGTAAATCATGGCGAAACTCGTCATGTAATACTTGTTTTACAATTTCCAACACGTTGTATGATTTACAGCCATCGTCATCTAGGTCCCTGAGTTGCGATCGTTTCCGTGGCTGCCTCAGAATGCAGATGGTTACAGCGTCAATTGTTGGGTTTTTGTTTTGATCGCTTACCTATAAGCGCATGCCTGGGCTGGACTGGCGCCTGGGCGCCCATAGGCCGTCCTCCGTCGGTACGCCTCCGCCGGTACGCCCTGGCCCGCGCCACGTGGGGAGCTCCCGGCCAACCTATCTAGCTTTAGCGGCGTTTATTCCTGGTCATAATCAGCGCATGGGTCCAGCTTCCGGCACAGCCAAGACTTGTGCGCAGTTGTGCGCTGCGGCAACGCGTCATCAGTACAGCATCTCCCCCTGCGCACCATGGCCGACGTCGATAATCCTCAAGCGACTGCATCTATATCTCTGTCCCATTTCCCACCACGATGAACCATCACCCCGGCAGGCAACCGTCTTTATCGCTCGGCAATCGTCAACGACCACATCTTCCGCTATGCTCGCGCGTTCCTTGCCTGCAACCGGGACAAAAGCTTTTGCTTCCAGCTTCTTGACAAGAAAACCCTTGGCTATTTCCTCCTTTAGGTCATTGTCCTTTGGCTCCGTTTCTTTGCCTTCCCGCCTATTGCCGTCGCCGCTGGCCCGAGGTTGGTGCGCAAAGCCTGGTTTCTGCGCAAAGCTCCTGTCCAGCTCCATGTTTCACCTCCGTGGCTTGGCTAAGCAATCCTTACCGACAGCTGGTGGAATGCCGGATCACTCCGACCGCTCGGTTGCCGCCGCTGGCAGCGGCAGCAGCAGCGTCGGAGGTGGCAACCGCCCACATCAATACACCAACCGTTTAGCTTCGGAGCAGTCTCCGTACTTGTTGCAGCATGCGCACAACCCGGTAGGTGCTAATACCCAATGGTATGTCCTAATTGTCGGGTGCGCGTATTCATTCGTGGAAGGGAGCCAACCGAGGAAAGAAGCCCCATGTAGGGACCTTGGATGGTGGATGGATTTCCATGAAATCAACTAAGTTACACAGCATGGGTGCCTGCCCTGGTCCGGGGCACCTCCCACAATAATTTGGGTCGCAGCGATTTGCACACAGCAGCGGTTTGCGCATCCCTACTACGGTTGTGCCTTGGCCTCGCTGTGACCTGTCCATGTTGCATGTATTATAACGGTTTTGGTTTCGGAGCAACTTGTACAGCTCGGTGCAGCTAAGCCGAATTTACAAATGGAAACATCTAAACCCACATCCCGAATAGATGCAGCCATGCTACACTATCTGAGAAGGCATGCTCAAACGCAAATGCGAAGTAAGCGCTGAAAAACCCAAATCGCATGAGTGTACGTGTACATTTGTGCGCTCTCAGCAGAGGCCTGGACAGTTGTCAACGCACGTGCGCATGTGCCGTGAGGACATGTCATGCTCGCAATTTGCACTGTCGGCTTCTAGAGCTGACGTACGCGATGATCGGGATTCAGTCGATATGAGCATTCATCATCCATACCCACCCATCCACGCATTCACCTACCTACACAGCCCATCCATTCATCCTTGTGAATGCACCACACGCGACCCGTAAAACAGGTCGACTGGTATCCATGGGGCGAGGAGGCGTTTGCTCGCGCGCGTGCGGAGGACAAGCCCATTTTTCTCAGTGTTGGATACGCCACCTGCCACTGGTGGGTGTGAAGACCAGAGCAGGCCAGCGTTCGTGCGGCGGTCCTGAGGGCGCGTGGGTACGGCATGGACGAGTGCGTGGGGTCTGTGTATACTGCTTGGCAGCTACGACCGATTACGATGCGAGAGCTCTCCGCTGAGTGCGCAAACAACATGTTGTGCTCCGGGGCATGCTAAACCGCCATTCCATGCCATACGGTGCCCTGCAACGGTCGCGCAAGGCAAGAATGGACGGGCATGGTCGCACGCCACGTTCTTAACTTGCTCCTGGCTGCTGGCTGCTGCTCCTGGCTGCTGCTGTGCGCTGTTGCTGGGTGCTGTTGCCGCCCTTCTCATGGAGCAGGTGCCATGTGATGGAGCGGGAGTCCTTTGAAAGCGAGGAGGTGGCGGAGCTGCTGAACCGAGATTTTATTTCCATCAAGGTAGAGGGCGGGAAGGAGACGAGGATACCTTTCTGGATGGTATAGCGCCGCCGCCGCTGCTGTCGGCATGTCCTCCCCCAGGGATCTTGCCTGTCATACCTTGCTTCTGCCTCAACAAAGACAGATGAGTTTGGCTGTTGGTTCTCCTTGAGCCCGGGGGGGGGGGGGAAGGCCGCGGCGCAGTCCTCTTCCGGCTCGCCGTCTGTCTGTGCGCCCTGAGTTTTTTCGGGGGTTCGGCACTGCGGCGCCAGACCCCCCCGCCAGAGCTGGCATCGCGCGTGTGAACCTGCCTTCTGTAGGCCCGAACCACGTATACCAACATCCCCGAATGTCGGTGCGTGTCGTTCAACGGCCTGCAGGTAGATCGAGAGGAACGACCTGACGTGGACCGTGTGTATGTAAGTACGGGTCGGTATCACCCTTACAATCAGTTCGCCGCCGAGAAGTTTTGTTCGCCTTTGGTAGTTGACACGGTTGGAGCGGTTGGCGATCGGTTGGCAGGCCGAGCCGGAAATTTGCTGCGTGCCTTAAGAAGGAATCGGCACACACACCAGGTCCGATCGCAAATGCACGTACTGGACTTGACTGGATTCACGGACAGGGCTCATTTCACACACACACACACACATATGTACACATTGGGCATGCACAGTGTGAGTTAAGTTTGGGCTCAGATTCACAATGATGGAACAGGGCCGTGGGCCTTGTGATTATGCAATCGAACAGATAAGAGGACGTTGCATAATGCATATGCAATCGAACAGATAAGAGGACGTTGCATAATGCATATGCAATCGAACAGATAAGAGGACGTTGCATAATGCATATGCAATCGAACAGATAAGAGGACGTTGCATAATGCATATGCAATCGAACAGATAAGAGGACGTTGCATAATGCATATGCAATCGAACAGATAAGAGGACGTTGCATAATGCATACCATTTATCAATCATTTCGGTGTATGCGTCATGTCGCTACATCCATCAGAGCGTCTCTTCGTTTGCGCGCCTTTCCCTTACGCCATCGCCTTACCCGCCTTCCGCCGCGCTCGCCATCGCCCCGCATCCCGCATCCCGCCACCTTTGCGTGCGATGCACCCTGCGCCGTACAGATGACGTACGTTCAGGCCGTCAGCGGCAGCGGTGGCTGGCCCATGAGCGTGTGGCTGACACCTTCCCTGGAGCCCTTTTACGGCGGAACCTACTATCCACCAAAGGTATGGCATTACGAGAGTATGTATTCGGTTTCGGATTCGGTTCCAACCTGGGTTCGCTGGACTCCTTTTTGAAAGCCTGTTCATGGTGCCCGTCCCTGCCTCCTTACCTCCCTACCATGTGCCTAATTAGGACCGCTTCGTCGGCGGGCAGCTGGCCCTGCCGGGATTCAGCACCGTGCTCCTCCGCATCGGCTCCCTGTGGCGCACCAACCGACAGGATCTCAAGAGCAAGGTAGGTAGGAAGAGGAGTCTTATAGAGAGGGCGGCTGGGCTGGGCTGGGCTGAGCTGGGCTGTTGTACGGGAGTCGGGGCTGCGGATGTGAATAGGGCTGCTGCGGTGCTTACACCGGCAGCGGCCAATCGTTTGTCAATTTGCACCGTTTGACGGGCTGTGCGTCTCTCGCCAAGCTAAGTAAGGTTTTGTAACTTTAGGCCGGCATTTATGCCCTTGTCCTGGGCTTTACGCCCTCAATGGGTTCTTGGACCTGCTTGACCCGCACCCGGCCCGGCTGCATTTCGTCGGCTTGCAGTCGCAAAGTCATCACCATACCCCTCTAATCGTCCCCACAAATCATCCTCCCGGCGCTGGACCTGGATCTGGATCTGGATCTGAATCTGGATCCAGGCCAGTTCCACCCTGGCGCAGCTGACGGAAGCCCTGACAGAGGCAGCCGCGGCGCCGGCTGGGCCCACCGAAGCAGCGGCTAACGCCGGTGCTGCGTTGCCGCCATCTCTTGCTGCCGCCGCCGTGGATGCATGCGGCCACGACCTGGCTCGTCGATACGATGCGGAGTATGGCGGCTTTGGCGGAGCGCCCAAGTTCCCCCGACCCAGCGAGATTAATTTGCTGCTGCGGGCTGCTGTCAGGCAGATGGTAGGAAGTGCTTGGGTGCTGGCGGCCGGGCAGGGTTCGGGGTAGCTTGTGTGGTTGGGAAGGGTGGCGGGTCTGGCGTCTTCAGTTTTGAGAGTTGGCTTTGGACACATACATCTGAGATTAAAGTTGCACTTTGCAGGTTGCATTTTCCCTTGCACCCGCTACGCTATGCCGTCTCCCTCTCCGACGCTTCCGGGTTTTCCCGCTACGCTGTATTTCCCGAAAAGCACTAGGAGGTTACCCACCAGATTTCCTTTCCCCACGGTCACTAGTCACCTACTAGTCACACGTACGTTTCAACGCTCAGGTGCATCTCCCCTTATCTTTCATTTCGCCCCTTCCCCCCCCGCTCTCAACTCTCAGCAGCCCCTCGCTCTCACAGCCCATCACTTTCCACCCGCTGCATAATCCCTGTTCTCCCGCTCCTTCTCTTCCTTCCGCCGGTACACGTCGGCACATAAACAGCGGTAGTAAAGTTTACAGAAGAGCAGTCGCGTCATTGAGTTAAGGCTCCAACAGCAGTTTGCAGCATCACTTGCAGCATGGACGCCGGCAGTTGGTTTCCTTGCGCACTTGACTTGGCATCATACCTATAGTATTCCCCCTTCCGCCGCCAGTTCCCTGCATCTGATTTACCTCTCCCTGCCTTCCTCCCTTTCGTACCTTCCTCCCTGCAGGAGCAGGGCGACCAGCTTGCCGCCCAGCGGCGGCGCTCCATGGCGCTCCACTCGCTCACCGCCATGGCCTCCGGGGGAATGTACGACCAACTGGGGGGAGGGTTCCACCGCTACAGCGTGGACGAGCTGTGGTGAGTTCGGGACGGGTGGGATGGGGGGCTTAGGGTCAGTATTGGGCAGTGCTGGAGGTTGGGCGAGTCCGTGAATGTGGCGTGGTTCGGGGGCGATCTTAGCTTACAGGACGATGGCCGTGCGTTGGACAGTATTGGTCTTGGTCTTGATTTGTCGCTGGGGAGGCGCTCAGGACACACGAGGGCCTTTTCGGGGCCGCCATGGGTGCGTTAGAAAACCGCGCTAGGGCTTGATGCCCTGGATAGCCCTATCGCCGCCTTGTATGCAGCTGTTAGCCGTTATAGTCCTAGCCGCATCCTTACGTCCTATCCCTTGTCGAAGGTCCTTAAGAAAGCTTCTTGTCCTCTCTTTCCCTCGTCGGCAGTTGGTTTTTGCTTCTTGCGTGATGTATGTGTTTCTTTCCGCTCCTTATATTCTTCCGAGTTATGTGAGTTCTTTTGGGTTGTCGACCTCCTCTTTAAAATTAAGCCCCCGGCCACGCTTTACACGCGCCATCCGAATTCTACAGGCACGTACCGCACTTTGAGAAAATGCTTTACGACAATCCCCAGCTGGCGTTGTCGTACCTGGCTGCCTTCCAGCTGACGGCAGATAAGCAGTACGCGCTGGTGGGTGTGGTGGTAGTGTGCGGGCTGCAGGGAGGAAGGGGGTGAGGCCAGGCCTTCAGAGGGACAAGTGGGCTTGGCCTTGGAATCTGGGGAGTATGTGCAATTTTGTGTGTGTTTGCGGAAAGTAGGATGGGGAAGAGGTTGCGCTTGTGCAGCGAGTGGCCGTCTTCTAGTTGGTTATGGCGGTTAGTCACTTGACTGAATGCGGTCGGGCCGCGAACCTTAGGACGTAATGGTCAGTTGCATTAGAGGAGGAATCCTAAGTTCCTAAATCCTGGGGGGCCTTTGACATCACAAACATACATACTTTTTTGTCCATTTTTGGATATAGCGCCCTGGACTGCAGGCCCTTGGGCCCCCTCAGGGCTCCAGGTATGGACCCGCCACACCTTGGAAGGGTAACGCAACTCCGGAAGGTGTAACACACAAACGCACTTACCACATAGCTCCCAAGTAAAAACATCTACCCGGAGATTCCTCCTACGTTAATTTACCTTTTTATCCACCGAGTCATTCTGCCACAAGTCTCTGGTGGTTACTCGGTCTCTGGTGGTTGCTTGGGTGTAAAGTTATTCTCATGTACCGCCACGCAAACCGCGTCATCTCTGAGCTGTGATTGCGGCACATACGTCGGTGTGTGTTCCCTCGGAGGTTGCCCGCGGTGTGCTGGACTACCTGTTGCGCGACATGACCTCCCCGGGTGGTGGACTCTACTCCGCGGAGGATGCGGACAGCGAGGACCCCCACAGCTACATGACCAGCACCACTACTGCCGCAGCAGCCGCGCCCGCCGCCATGGAAGCCGGCAGTAGCAGCAGCAGTAGCAGCTATGTTCAGGACCACAAGCAACAGGAGCAGCAGCAGCCACGAGGCGAGCGGAAAGAGGGCGCCTTTTACATCTGGGATCATTCTGAGGTACGTCTTTTCTGATCTCGAGTATATCTTCGTCAATCGGTATGGTGCATTAGGAGGGGGCTGGGATGGGGTTCTTGGTGAATGTACAGCGTGTCTGGAGCTGTACGATAGGACTGTGGGTCTAGTCATGGGGGAAAGGTTTGTGTAGATTGTTCTGAAATGAAAGAAGGAATGGAGCGGAGGTTATCAAAAGGTGGGCTCCTGAGTGCGAGGGAGTGACCTGAGCGGTTGCGTGCTGCGCCCACATGTGCACCTACTTTTGCAGCGTCATTAAGGTTTGCCTGTTCAAACTGTGTTTCCCAGCAAGCGTGGCATGCATGTTTTAACAGGCCAGGCGGCGGGTCACGGAAACCCCATGTATGTGTATTCGTGCGTGTATGTGCGTCTGTATGATGTGTAGGACAGGGGTGCATATCTTCACCCGTGGCAGCTACCCTGCGAAACCCTGCCTTCCCCGGTATTTCGGGGCACCGTCACCTAGTCACCCTAGTCAACTTCTCAGTGGGATCGCTTATCCCCTCCCGTCCCCTTCAAAGCCGCTCTGCGCCCAGCGCATCCCCTCCCCTTCAAAAGCACACAACACAACTCGAATCCAGGGCCCGCCCCACACGCACCCCCACCCGGAAACCCATCACCCCACCCCCCAGGTCGTGTCTGTACTGGGGCCGGAGCTGGGACCGTTCTTCTGTCTCGTGTACGGCATTGATGAGGAGGGTGAGCGGGCTTAGTGGGGGGGTACGTCGAAGGAAGCGGGGAGGGGAATGGTTGAAGCGGGTTTCTCTGTTGTACGACCAACCGCTTTGGTCGGTTGTCGACGGTCTGTCGAGTTCTGGGCAGTTGCAGTATCTCTTTGGACGCCAGCAGCAGCTGGCATTGATGAGGAGTTCGTTGGAACAGTTGACCCCGCTAGCTTCTTTGCATTATATGGTTTCCCAATTCCCAACCCCCGGGCCCCATCCCCCCACCGCCAACCCTCCTTCGCTCCGTTCGCTCCATCCAACCTTCTGCCCTCCCACGGTCTTTTCACGGTCTTTTCACGGTCTTTTCACGGATGACTGATCCTTCACCAGGCAATTGCAACCGCAGCTCCCGTAGCGACCCACACGGCGAATTCGAGGGCAAGAACGTGCCGTACATCGCCACGCAGCCGGCGGTGGCGGCGGCACGCTTGGGTCTGCCGTATGGCGATGACGCAGCAGAGGCGGCTCGCCGGCTGTCGGCGGCGCGGGAGGCGCTTCACGCGGCCCGGGCTTCGAGGCCGAGGCCCTCCCTGGACGATAAGGTGGGTGGATGGGTGGATGGGTGGATGACCAGTAACGAGGGGAATGGGATGAGGTTGGGGATCGGGGTGAGGCGGGTGAGGTTGGGGGAAGGAGCTCGACAGGGGGAGGGTCGATTCCCTGTTGCTGCCTTCTGAGCCGGATGCAGATGCGCTGATGGTGGTGGTGGTGGTGGTGGTGGTGGTGGTGGGGGGGGGGGGGGCGGCGGCTTGGAGCCCCAACTTGACGCGCACTTGGCCCTCACCCCAATGGCGGTGTAACACACATATACATATATTAAAATAATGTTATATGTAAGAAGTATAATTTAAAACCAAATTATTTTATGTATGTATTATATTATGTCATACATATATGTATGTATGTGATTGAATGACACCCACCCCTCGGACCCTCTGGGCCCTGGCCCCTCCAGATTGTGACGGCTTGGAACGGAATGGGCATCGGCGCCTTCGCGGTCGCTTCCCGGGTCCTGGCCTCCGAGCAGCAGGTGCGAGGCGGCATCTGATGTCTCGGAGGGGGAGAGGTGCTTCTCATCCAGCGATCCGGCCATTAACGAAGAAGTAGATAGCAACGGCTTTAAACGTCTTCAACCGCTCTCAAGGCCAGGCGATCGCGTGGGCGGGTGAGAGGCCCGATATCCCTCCGCAGTACCCTCGGTTACCCCGCCCACCCACCCCCTCTCACTTGGCTGGCATTATTGCTTTTCTTCTGCGCTTATTTTAGTCTTGGCGGCTAGGTAGGTAGTTTTTCCGGCATCTTCTTCGCTACGTCATCCCGAGGTCGCCGCCTTTAAGAACGCCTTTTGGTCAGTTCTACGTCTGGTACACTCTTGCCCTGGCAGCAGCTTCTTCACTCGTTCGTGGTTCGTCTTTCCCCCCTATCACTCCCCTCCGCCAACAGGTAGAGCGGCTTTTCCCGTCAGAGGGCCGGGCCCCAGCTGCCTACCTGGATGCGGCCGTGAGGGTGGCGGCATTTGTTCGAGAGCACTTGTGGGACCCCGCGGCGGGCGGCGGGGTGGGACGGCTGAGGAGAAGCTATTGCAAGGGGCCGTCAGCAGTGGCGGGTAGGGCCGCCTGGCGAGTGGTGGTTGGAGGTGACTTAGAATCCTTCTCGTCGTCCTCCTCTCCCTCGCCGTCCTTTCCCGCCCCCCAGCTTCATTCGTTCGTGGTTCGTCTTTCCCCCCAATTCGCGTCTCGCGGCGTGTTCTCGTCGGCTGCGTGTGGTTGGGTCGCGTCACGTCTGGTGGGCTCATTTGTCGTTTCCCGGACGCCTGCAGCTCCTCACACCTGTCGACCCCCGTGTGGACCCACACAGGCTTCGCGGATGACTATTCGGCGCTGGTTTCGGGGCTGCTGGACCTGTACGAATGCGGGGGTGGACGGGAGTGGCTGGAGTGGGCACTGCAGCTGCAGGTGAGGAGAAGCAAGGAAGGACATGTGCCCGTGTGCGTTTGTGCGTGTATGTGTGTGTGGGGGGGAGGTCAGGCAAATCACTTGGGATGTTGGGCTGCTGAGTCAGCACTGCTGCTCTTTCTCTCTTTCAACACCTCCCCACACCCGGGTTAGTCGCAGGAATGCATTCGGACGCGTAACAGACCCCGGTGTTATCGCTTGTCTCGCACAAGATCATGACTACCACCGCCGCCATCCCGCACGTTTCTGTTTCTGCATGGTTTCTGTTTCGCAGCTTGATCCTGCTGGACCTCTGGTTCATTTTCCCACCCCAAATTCTGATTGCTATCTTGCTACCTGATACACATTGCCGTCTTCCACACAACACATACACACATGCTTACACACATGCGTACACACCTTGCAAGAATTACCTCACCCCTCACCCCTTTTCCGTTTCCGCTGCTCGCAGGCGGTTCAGGACCAGCTGTTCTGGGACCCCCAGTCCGGAGGCTACTTCTCCACGCCGGACCCCGCCTCGGCGGATGCGGACCCCTCCATCAGAATCCGGATCAAGGTACGACGCGTTGGCCGTACAGTGCCACAGCCACCACCCTGGCAACACAGTGCCATAACACGGCTGCATGCAGAAGTTGTAGTTTTGTGTGGCATCTGGTACGGCATCCAGTACATAGATCTGGGCGACTTAAACCTTTCCGCGGTTGGCTGGCATTTCCTCGTGATGTGACTTCTCTCCCCCCGGCCTTGATTCATACTGGGTCTGGCAGCGTACTGGCTTTCATTTTCCAGCTGCAGATGCAGATCTAATGTTGAACGCACAACAAACCAGGTCAATCCTTTGTTTTGGATCAAAACCTCCGCGGCACCGTGTTCACGTTCTTCGTTGCTTCGTGTCTTGCTGTGCCGTGCCTTGTATGTCCTCCCCATCGCGCGGCCCATCCCTCGTCACCTTCACACAATATACAAGTCACCTTTTAAGTTAACACCCGGCCTTTCACACCCACACCGATCTGGGGCACCAGGATGACTACGACGGTGCCGAGCCAACCGCCTCCTCCGTGGCGGCTTCCAACCTGCTGCGGCTAGCGGACATGATCCAGGAACGACCGTTGTACGGTGCGTACGGCAACGAAATTCCCTGCGGCCCGGGTGCGGGCTCTTGCATACATAGCTGACTCACGATTCTTTCACGAGTCTTTGATCGGACGGAGCTGTAGTGGGATGGGATGTGTCTTGCAGATGCCGAGATATGGCGTGCGTGCTGTCTTTTGCTCCCTTGGGATGCAGCTGGCTCATGACGGAATGTGAGCAGCACGAGCGGGGGGAGTTTCCGAGCCGTGCGTATGAAGGCAGGGGCACGTCCACACGTATTATCAGCACAACTACCTGGACTGCATGGAAGAGTTAGCCACAAGGCACAATTATACTTATACGCGGCCTTGACGTCTCGGTGGTCTTCTTCCTCCGCTCCCTCAACGCGCCATGTGTCCTTACGGCCTCTGCAGATACTACGGCATCTACGACTACTGGTCATGCGATGCCTTACGATGAGGCGGCACGGCGCACGTTGGCGGCCTTCTCGGCGCGCATCACGCAGGCGCCGCTGGCGGTGCCGCAGATGTGCTGTGCCGCCCACACGTTCAGCAAGCGGCCCCTGCGGCAGGTAGGTATAACGAACGGAGTGGGGGCCCTGACGAATGTCGGGAAAGGCGGTTGGAACTGAGTCGTAAAGGGGGAATGGTTAGGAGAGGATTCTGGCTATGGGCAGCGACAATGTCACTTGCAATGGGGCTTATTTGGGGGCGGTTTGGGGGAGTGGGGTGTTGGCGATGGGAGGGTGTTCGGCCGCTTTGACGCACGCTGTGCTGTGCTGTGCTGTGCTGTGCTGTGCTGTGATAGTTCTCTGCTTGCACTGGTTGTAAATAGCAAAGCGCCGGTCCCCTTCAGGTCCTATTACTGCTGACATTTTTCGCTGGTAGTTGTATGGGTGTCGGTAAGTGACTGAGACTTATTGTTATAAGTCTTGCAGTCTTGCATAGGTTCCGTGGCCTGTTGCGACAGACTTGTTGTCTTGGGGTTTCGATAGGGATATCGCGCACAGGTAATGGGACGGTCAGTCAGAACTGACCGGGCAACCAACCGAATAGGCAGCTAGGTAGAACGGCTACGTGTGTGAGAAGGGGCAGAAGGGGCTCCAACGGTCAGTGGAGCTATCGCGGCTATGGCCGACATCAAAACCCCCCCCGTGCTCCTCCAGGTCATTGTGGCTGGCACGGCGGGCGCCACGGACACCGGCGCACTACTAGATGCCGTACACTCGCCGTACTGCCCGGACAAGGTAGTGCTGGTGATGGACCCGTCCGACCCGCGGGACATGGCCTTTTGGCGGAAGCACAACCCGCCCGCGTACGACATGGTGGTGGCGCACTTTGCCAGGCTGCAGAAGTCGCAGCAAGGGCAGGAGGAAGGCAAGTGAATATATTGGGTAGGGCGGCGAGGGATAGGCATATTCTCAAGCCACATACGGACATCGGAATACGGTGATCATGATGGTTTGTTGGTTGTTGTGGCCAAAGGTGCATTCCTGCGTGTGGGCTGCAATTTCAAGGGGCTACCCAAAGGGGCATGTCGTGCTGTATCCACAAGTGGCCCCTTGCGCGTTTCAAAAGATGCATGCTAGCTCCAAAGGCCAAAGCATGGGACGAAAGGCGCAGATTGATTTAAGAGGGACCTGCCTCCTCTGCCTACGGGCAACGCTTACCTAACCTCACTGACGCGTCCACCCAAGCCTCTACCTTCTTTGCTAGTCCCTCTCATCTCTGTCACTCCCCTTTCATTTCCGTTTATGTTTCTTCCCGTATGTGCTCCATCCTTCACGCATACGCCCCGTTCTCTCGTGCAACCACGCCACGACAACGATGCCGGTGACGGCGCTGCACACACAGGAGCAGGAGCTGGAAAAGCAGCAGCGGCGACGGCGGCTACCGGTACGGTTGGTGGCGAGACACAGCCCGCAGTTGTCTTCATCTGCCAGAACTTCACCTGCCAGGCGCCCACCACCGACCCTGCCCGGGTGCGGCAGCTGCTGGCCCAGCGACAGGTGTGTCGTGAAGGCTCGGTGCAGCCTGGGTGTGCGGGGGAGAGGCTGGGTGAGCTGAAGGAAAGGGGAGGGACATGTTCACGGGCAGGAGTCATGGACCGTGGAAAGGGCGCGGGAAATGGAAATGGAGAGGGGGAAGGAGGAAGGTCCACAGATGCCCTTGAGGCGCATAAGTTACCGCTGCATGCCGGGGATCTTCTACGGTCGTCGTCAACTTGCATTTATGTAAGCCATTAAGTTGTATGTGCTTCCCCCCTTTTTTGCAAGCACGAACGATTAGTTATACCTGGGCTTGTTACACCTCTCTGGGTAATGCAACCGCGGTGTAAAACACACACACTAACACACACACATAGAAGAGTATATGCTTTCCGTATTGTTGTAGCCACGCACTTAACAACTTGTGTGGCCGATGACAGCTTCCGCACGTCCTGCCATGTATTCGTCCGTATTGTTGTAGCCACGCACTTAACAACTTGTGTGGCCGATGACAGCTTCCGCACGTCCTGCCATGTATTCGTCCGTATTGTTGTAGCCACGCACTTAACAACTTGTGTGGCCGATGGCAGCTTCCGTACGTCCTGCCATGTATTCGTCCGTATTGTTGTAACCACGCACTTAACAACTTGTGTGGCCGATGACAGCTTCCGCACGTCCTGCCATGTATTCGTCCGGATGTACCCTGGCTGAGCACCTGACACTCACCAGCTCCTTCTCTACCTCCACCTGTGTGCCTGAACAGGCTCCTCCGGGGAGTGCGGCGCAGATGCAACACTTCGAAGTCAAGCTGTGAGCTGCCCCAGCCGCTAGCTCTCCGTTCGCGCTGTTCATGTTCAGCGATTGGCCCCTACGGTCTTTCAGAGCTTTCAGCCGTCAGCTTTCCGAGTGCCGAGGGCAGTGAAGGGGCAGTAGGGCGCTCCGGTAAGAAACGTCAAGCCCTTCTGCTAAACATGGTATTCTATCCGGCTTACAGCCGCTCATAAAGGACTCTGCAGCCCGTATCACGTCCAAGGGCAGGCTGGATGCAGACCGAAGGCTCTGCCTTGGCCCCTTATCCGCGGATTGGGTGCGCTGTGCGGGTCTCGGCTTCCCTGCTAGCAGGCCACTGAAGAGGGGAGGTGACACGATCACAGGTTCCCAACCACCTCCGTCATATTAGCCCCAGCTACTGCTGTCTTGGGATGTCGGGCTCCGTTATTGGAGGCAACCGTGTTATACGAAGGGCTACCCGGGTGCCATACGTCCATGCATTCCCTGCGGCCCGGGCGAGGAGTAAAGGTGGTGTCCAGTCGTCGGAACTGCCAACAGCAGGGTTGGCGTGAGGAAGGCGCCGCCCTGCTTGGCGACGCACGTGGACACGTGTGAGGAGTACATACCATGCCGCAAAGTTACGCAACACCCCGTGGCACTCGTAACGGCTGCCGCACTGTGGTGCGCAATTCGGCCAAGGTGTTGCTGCTGCTGCTGCTGCTGCTGCTGCACATGCCGTGTTGTGTGCAACGGTGTGCGTGCACCGGGGTGGTTGCGTTGCTTGGTTCTGCTTGGTCCCACTACATATACCAGGAAGGAATGTTTTTACTAAGGTATTTGGTAGCTTGTTGGTCGGCGGTTTCTGGGTGTCGGTTGTAATTTTGGTAGGTTGACTGTCAGTTCCAGCAAGCCGGCAAGCTGTTCGGTTAGCTGGATTAACCCGGACGGTTAGGCATGTTCACTGGCTTAGCCTAACATGTGCACACAAGTTACAAGATACATGTGCAGGCGGTTATTTGTCTGGCCGTTGTGTGTTGGACGAAGCAGAAGCTGGCATCAGGCAGCTCAGAGATCCATCTGCTTTACGCTTTTCCTGCATGCCATTTGGGCGCCTTGGAGCAAATAGCCTAGAAACATACTAACGTCCATTCTCAAGAACGCAGTAGGTGCCCATGCATGGCCCTTCATCTAGTGTGCCTCTCTTCTGTAGGGTGTAGGATCGGCAATCCGGATTTGACGCATGGATGGGCTGCTCAAGATGGGTTCTACGTCCTCGCGCGTCCAGTTCAATATCCTGTTGTCCAAGAATGTTTCTTAGCTGCTGGGGGCCCCTACATGCATGACAGCTACATGCATGACAGCGGAAAGCAAATAATGTGATGTGCCATAGCACTGGAAAGTCGGATAGACCATATAGCGCACCGCGCTGGTCATACGTGGTGCGTATTACAGGGACGGGATGGTTGGAAAGGGGCTTCTGCTTTTGTCAACCCGTTCGTGACGGGACTAGTCGGCGGATTTCGTGGGTCAACCATGGCGGACTTCTACTACGGACTGTTACTCAGGGAAGAAGGTTATAGTCAGGGTATCACGGATGTGGATATGTTTGCGTGTCTTTGTATATATCGTGCATGCCTGCGTCTGTGTGCATGCCTGCGTGCATGTCTGCATGTGTGCCGACAAAAGGCGAAACAAAGGAAGGATCCCTTTAGCGGGGATGGACCATGATGGAAGCGGTCTCCGACCGCGGCTACAGTACTGGAGAGGCGGCCGCATGGGTATGCTATGCTTGAAGTTGTCGCATGTGAAGTAGCTAGGGTTTTGTCAGATGACAGGAAGGGTGATGCACATGCAGTCTTGCCTACCCAGCACAAGTGAATAAACCTAATATAAATAAATAGTCATGTATAAAGATGGTTAGGTAGTTGCCAGCGGTGGTCAACCCCGGCTTGTGTGCCAGCTTGAGATCAGGACCGGTGAGCGCATCATCAGATAGCAGGTTGCAGTGCACCGTTGCAAGCCACAATGCCTTAGAGGCAGCCCTGCCTGGAACAGCATCGCACACCATCGCACGCATTTTGTCCATGAGGATGTAAACCGGATGCTCTGCGGCAGCAGCAGCCGTTCTGCTATTGTGTGCTCAAGAACACTACCCAGTGTGTCTTGCTCCATGCTTGTACACTGGTCATCACTGGTCATAACTTTCTCTAACCTCATCCTTGCGCTTGCGTAACGAAGCAGCAGAATGATGTAGGCGTGAAAAGTTGTTTAGCAGGAAGGTTGCCATATCGAGGCGGTCCCTACTGAAAAACAAAGTGGCCGCATATTTGGTGTCCGTGCGTCTGCACAAGTGCGGCAGTGTCTCTGTCCGCCCTACCTATACCTACCATCCCCAAAGGCCACATGCATGTGTTTTCATTTTGCTTCAGCACACATGCATTTCCGCTCAATAGACTCGGTCGGACTCGCCGGGCTTAACAGCCGACCGAAACTCCTTTCCCGGCAGCATATACCAGAGACCTGCTCCGTCAGTTGTCATCCACAAGCCGTGCAGCGGCCATGCCAATCTGCAAAACCTTACATGGCCAAGAGGAACTCCTGCCCTAGGAAGGCTGCTCTCGTGTCACATCAAAAGGGAAATTTACGAACCGCCCAATTAAGGAGGAACATGTTCATTAGTAGTACAGTAATAGAGCCATCCAAACGGTATGCATGCGGCTTCCACGTGCAGAAATACAAATGGAAAGCTGTCGCAGCCCGTCACAACAGCCTTGGACGTCCTCCCTCTTAATACACAACAGGCAGAAATACCAAAAGCGTCTGCGCAAATGAGCTGCTTGATAGCTTCCCTAGCCCCCTCTGGCTAGCTGGCTGCCTAGTCCCGCTCACAACTCGTCCCACGCTACTTCTTCATTCAGAAGTCTAGTCGTCCCTGTCCCACTGGGACTAGTTCCACTGGTCCCAGTGGGACTAGGGACGACTAGGTGTGTGTGTGTGTGTGTGTGCCACGCATTATTCGCTGTACTCCCTCTTCGAGTCGGCCGTGGGGATGGAACCGCCCGAGTCCAACTACCAGCTGCAGAGCAAGGGCGCATGAATTTGAGGGGCACAGGGGTGCCGGAGGCTTGTGCACGTTGTTAAACTGACAAGCTGCGTGCCAGGCTGGCTCCCCATGAGCTGCTGAGCCGTACGTAAGCCTAACAGGGTTGCTCCACCTGGCTGCACGCACTGGGCAGTTTGCTAGCGAATTTCCAAAATTTCTGGCCCGAGCCTAATAATTTCGTTATAAATCAATTAAACGAAGACGAATGGAAAGAGAATAGCAGAAGCGCAATGAGACGGCAATGAAAGTCTCCCCGGCCGATAACTTTAGGACGTGTTCACATGTAGAGGAATAAGGGTTGATTCGTTTGTAGTCTAAGTTGTGATGAGGTTTTTGAAGGATTGTACGAGTACGGTGAGTCGAATGAGGTGCGATTCCCGATTGAAAGCTTACAAGGAGCAAAGCCAATTGATGAGTTGTGATCTTGTAACAAACTTCACTAAAATATATTGAAAGGCCGTCTTGTTCTCCTGGAATGAATGCCTGTGATGTGTTTGGCTAATCCTGGGATTTAGCACCCGAGCAGACCCGAGCAACCCACAAATCTGGGGTGCGTTCGGAACATTCGGAAATGCCTGGGCCTTGTTATCCAAAAATACAAACACGTCAATGCAAATAAGATAAACATAAACAGTTTGCTCATTAATATTGCAGATGTACTTCTCGGTTTCAAGGTTCAACTCCGTATACATGTCTTTCTGCAGTTCTCGACAACAACGTTTTATAAATTATAACTAGTTCTTCTTTACTTACTTATCCCCTTTGCTTGTCGCTTCAGGAAAACTTTAATAACCGTCATTTCCTCGGCCACTACTTCACACTGCTCATCTGCGCTTTGCAATTTACCATGATTCCTCTCCCTCCTCTCCCTCCTCTCCCTCCTCTCCCTCCTCTCCCTCCTCTCCCTCCTCTCCCTCCTCTCCCTCCTCTCCCTCCTCTCCCTCCTCTCCCTCCTCTCCCTCCTCTCCCTCCTCGCCCGCCTCTCCCTCCTCTCCCCCCTCGCCCGCCTCTCCCTCCTCTCCCTCGTCGCCCGCCTCGCCCTCCTCTCCCTCCTCTCCCTCCTCTCCCTCCTCGCCCGCCTCGCCTTCGGCCTGTGAATAGTCTGCTCATTGACCTTGCAGATGCATATCCCGGTTGTAATGCTCAACTCCGTACACGTCTCTTCCTTCAGTTCTAAATTTTATAACTAGTCCTTCTTAATAATATCTTTTTTTTGCTTGGCGCTTTACGCTGCCATTTTTCCGGGTATCACATTCCATATGTCTAGTCGATTTGCGTTGTGATCTTTCGTAACCGCCTTATTCTCAGCCATTACGATACTTTACGCTGCACACCTTCCTGACTTCTGCGCTTTCCATTTTACCATGTTTTCTCTATTATTTAC